TCCTCCTCCTCCTCCTCCTCCTCCTCCATTCTAGCCCTGAAGAAGTTGTGGGATGTGATCCTTGTGACCCAAGAGCAGCAAATGATTGTGAACCTGGGACGGACACACTCCTCCCAAATATTTCTAATTTACTGAATAGCCTCCCAATCTATAACTTTCAAACAGCTGGGAAGAGGAAATGAAATGAAATATTGTAAGAAGACATTCCCCCCATGGAGTTTTGCTGCCTAAACTGGCCCCGTCGTTGGATTCCCCGGTATTTTTTCAAATTCCTTCCTTCTTTGAAAAAGAAAAGAGAAGCATAATATAAAAGAGAAATGGGAAGGAAGGCGGGGGGGAGGCTCCCTCCCTTGGGCCCCTCACCCGTTTCTGGTTGTAGTTGACCGCCAGTCGGAGCCTGGCCAAGTTGGGGATGCCCTCCTCGAAGGCCTGGTCGTCCATCCCGTCGTCCTCCTCGTCCATCTCGTCTTCCCCCAGCTCGTTCAGGACGGCCGTCACCTCGCTCTGATTGCGGCACATGCCCAGGAGCTCAAAGGCAAACTCCTGGCACAGGTCCTCCAGCGCCAGGTAATCTGGCTGGATCAGAGGAGAGGGAGAAAGCCCATGAGCCAGAGCTGCCCCTGCCCCATGACACCCCACGGCTCCCCTGCCTTACGGCATCACAACCCCCCTCCCTTCTAGCACTGATGATGTTCCCCAGATGGGTCATGAAACGTCTGTAAGAAAAGCACCACGTTCAGAGACCACCAAGGACCACACAGGTCTCCTCCTCCTCTTCCTCCTCCCCCCCCCCCCCCTCCACCACCACCACCCTGTGAATTCTACCCCCTTCTATCACTGATGATGCCTATGGAGATTCTCATTCTTCTCCATGTCTTGGTTCTCCCAAAGGTGCTTCAACAAGAGGCAACTGGACTTTCTTTGAAAACGTTTCACTTCTCTCTTTTTGCCCGATTTTTTTTATTTTTTCTCATAACTGTTATTAATAATATGTATTTATAACAATTTTTCCCTACTGTTGACAATATACTTGAAGATTGCTTT